TCTTATTTATTAATATTATTACTAATTTATAATTATTTTAATTTTTAATAATTCAACAATTTTACAATGATTATGAATGAAAAAAATAAAATAATTATTCAATTTGTAATATATATTTAACTTTATTTTAAATTTAAAAAAATAATTGAAATTATTTAAATCTTTATTTTTCAGAATTTATATTTAATTTAAATTATAATTATATATAAAAATTATATATGTTACCTTTACTTGATTATGATATTGAAAGGATCGATTACTTGTGAAATAACATTGATAATTTTCACAGTCTCGTAATTTTTCATCATTTCCAAAAGGTGTCCACCATAAAATTACAGGTACGTCTAAAAAATATAATTAAAATATCTTTTAATTCAATAATTTAAATATTTATGTTTTATATTTATAAAAATATCAAACAAAACTTGACACATTTTATATACCTGAATAATGTAATTTATTGCCAATTTGAATTAAATATATCTGTTAATAATGTTAATTTTAATAAATATTGATTTATATTTATTTTATAATATATCCTTATAATTTGTATAATATTATTAATATTAAAATATTATTTAATAAGTATATATTTATAAATCAAAAAAATTATTAATTTATTATTATTATTGATATTTTTTATAAGCATTTCATTATTATATTATGGAATTATAAAGTTAATTATAGATATACCTGATAAATTATTATACTCAAACTTAGAGCAACAATTGTTACAAATATAGAATATATTCTTCGTGAAAAATAAAAGTACAACATTTTATAGTTAATAGTTAATAATTTTTATGATTAATAAAATATTTATTTTAGTTATGCTGTTTTCTTAATGATTTATTTTTGATTAAAATATTTTAATGAAATGTATATGTTTTATTTAGATATTAAAACTTAGATGTTTAAACTTTATATTAAAATATTTCACATTATTAAAAATAATATATTGTACTTAACAGATACTTAACAGATTTTATATTTTCGTTTATATTTATAAAAAATATATAATATAATTTATGAAATATAATAAATAATATAATTAAAACATTACTATATATTTATATATTTTAACATATCACATATTTTAATAATTAAAATAATATATTGTTTTTGAATAAACATTATTTATTCTTACTGTTATTTTTACAATAAATTTTATATTATGTTATAATTACTTAAATTTTATTATAATTACAATATTACTTTTTTAAAAAAATATTTTTTAAAAAATGTTTTAAAAATTTAATAACATAAATAATTTGTATTGCATAGTAGAAACTAAAATAAATTTGAGGTTAAGGCACAAATGTTTCGTCATATTTTTATAAAAAAAAACAATTTCTTGTGATAAAAAATTAATGATTAATTTTTACAATATATAAGTTTGTAATTATTTATAATAATTGAAATTGAAATACACAAAAATTATATATAAAAAAATAAAATAATTTTATATTTAAATAAAGTAATAAATACAAATATAATATATGAATTATTTTAAAATATTAAATGTCATTAAAAAGTTTTGCAATTAAATTTTATTATTAATCATAAATTATTGTTTATTTATAATATTATTGCTTTAATAACTTAATTTTTACATTTATTTTAAAAATATGTGAATAAAAAAAATATATTTCAATAAATTTTTATACTATCAAAATTGTTATCTAGAATTAGAAGAACATTAAATTTATTTGTAAAAAAAAATGTATCTTGACTGACGTTAATTAAATTCAAATTTTTTTATAATAATCACATAAGATACATGAAAATAAATAATTAAATATAATTAATAAATAAATATAAATAAATAATTAAATATAAATAAATTTGATAAATTATATAAATCTATTGTATATTACGATTTTCTTTGTACTTGTAAATATGTTTACATATATTTTTCTTGTATATTTATATATTTTATATATATAAATCATATAAAGATTATTATATGTATATAATATATAAACTATATAATATTCATAGAAATGTAAGTAAATATATATATATATATATATATATTTACTTACCTATTATCGTGAACACATATAAGACTTTCTAAGGATCTGTAAGAGCAAGTCGGTCATGGTTACGATCACGATGCGATCAGGATTACGATCACAGTCACGGTTATAGTCATGCTCCTGACTTCTCTTTGACGGTCAACGAACTCTCTTCTTTTCTTTATTCATTCTTCCTTTCTCTTCATCAGTTATAGTTTCTCTAACGACGTTGCTAGATGCATCTAGGCTATCTTTGCAACAGTGAACTACTTATTTAAAATTACAAAAAAGCTTTATAAGTTTTGTAATCTAATATTATTAAATATTCAATATATTATTATTCGAATATATTTAAAAAATTATAATTCATTATAGTTATAGTTTAAATAATAATTTTTTATTGATGTATTGATATATTTATATATCTTTTTTTATATTTATCTTCTTTTATTATTTATGCTATATTTATATCTTATATCCTATTTTTTTTAACTTTTTTCTTTCTATCTATTAGATTTATATAAATTCAGTGTATATATATATATATATATATATATATATATTAATGATATATATTATAAAATAAAATATTTTACATATGAATTTTTCTTTATAAATATATATATATGTATTTAATATGAAATATGAAAATAAACTAGAATACAACTTATATATATAAAAATATATGACTGACATAAATGACTTAAATAAGTAATTTTTATATTTTTGTAATTGTTAATAGTATGTGTAAATTAAAAGTTCAAATTCAATCGCAAATGAAAGAAATTTAGAACTGTTCTGCGTCCGTAATTTGCCAGAAGAATGAAATCAGTATAAATGTCTCGTTAGATACGCTTCAAAGTTTTAAACTTCCTGAATGAAATAAGATTATATTCTAAATATTCGATTGATTTATATAAAAATTTTTACTAATTAAATATTTATTATTAATAAAACTTTATCAAATATATTATTATTTGATTTTTTCATGAATTTCATATAGCATTAAATAATAAATTAATCATTTATAAATATGAAAATTATGTAATATTTTACAAAGAATTAAATACAAATTTATAAAAATATAATGATTTTTTCATTAAATTAATGATTAATATCTAATCATATACATTCGTTTAGATATAGAAAGTAAAAAATAATATTATACAAATTTTATTAAATTTTATAAAATTAATATTATTATATATTTTAATATATTATATATTTAAAAATAAATGGAGAATGTTATTCAAGAATAATAAATTTGATTCCACAGCAATATAATTCCATTTAAAATTATATTCTAAGAAATTCAATTCTATGAAAGAATGCATATTTCTACATTGGTGTATATTTGACATCGTTCATAAAATAATATATTGATTCAAAACTAACGGTATATTTTAAGAAAATAAGGAAGTAAGATAAGAAAGAATGGAAATATATTGATTTTTATTATATTAATAATAATTTTATTATTTCATATTATAATTATAATAATATTTTTATTATTTCAAATATTTTTAATTTAATTTAAAATATTTTAAATAAAAATATTTATTTGATTTTAAGTAAAATATATATTATTAAAATTTTAAATAATCTTTAAAAAAGGTAATTATCACAGAAAGTCTATATCGTATCATAAAGAGGACGAAATAACTGTATATCGTTTAACTGTAAATTGTCTAAGGAATTAAAATGAAATTCCTAATTATATAAATGAATATTTCTTTTATTGAGAAAATATAATTAAAAAAATTAATTATATTTATAAATAATAAAATTATATATCACTAGATTGATAAAAATATTTTTTCCATAATTATATAATATTCAAAGATTAAAAATAAAAATAATAATTATAATTCATTTAATATATAATAAAATTATATACATATATTGTTTAAATATATATATACATGTCAATTTAAATAAATAAAAATATACATAATATAAAAACTTTATTAAGATTTAAACGAATTATTTTTTACATATTTCTATATTTAATACATAATTTCGTAAAATTATAAATGATTTTTGATTAAAAAATTAATGTTGCTTATTGAAATTGAAATCATTTTAATTTCAATTTAAAATATCTTTTTTGCCGTTTTATTTTATAAAATTTAATCGTAATATATTTATTTAAAACATATATTTATATTTTTTTCAAAGTAATAATTAAATTAAATAATAATTATTTTAAGTACAACTTAAATATATTTCATATTTTAAAATATTTTAACATTTATTATAAAGAAAATACTAATATTATAGCTTTATAATTTAATTTGATAAATTTTAATTTTATTAATATAAAACAGACACTGTAAAAAAATCTTTTTATATATATATATTTAAAAATAATATATATTTAAAAAGATTTTTTTAAATTTTTAAATCTTCACAAAAAAGAAAAGCTTAAATATTAAATATATTAAAATAATAATTATAAAGAATAGATAAATTACAAATAAAAAAATGGAATGTATATGAAGTTTCATCGCAAAAACAGCAATCACAAAGATAGGGTCGTCGATCTGCGGTTCACTGTCTTCCGGAAAGTCGACAGTTCGATGTATGCTTATTCCCCACTTTTTCCTCTTTCTACATCCTCTATCGTTCACGACTGCGACCCCCTTATTAAAACGGCGCACGCGCGATATTCTGTAAAATTATACAGGGCCGTATGAATTTAAAGATACCTATTATATCTGTTATATTTATCGTAAAAATTTTTATTTACTATATGATATTTATTATTACTAGTAGTATACAATATACAAATTAATGTTAATAGCTTAAATAATTTTTATAATAAATACAATTAATATAAACAATTATAAATATAAAAAAATAAATAAATTTTATAATGTTTCTCCACCAATATTACATTCTATACACAATCCTGATTCTATGGTGGAATCAGATTTTGCGCATGCGTCAAAAGTCCTGAGGGATCCTTAACACAAACTGAGAAGAACAAGCGAGTCAAGTCAGTTGCTGGCTGAGTATCTTTGTTGCGGTGAACATAATTCGTCGGTCGTGACCGATACTTCTCTTGCGTACTTTCTTCTGTCTGTTTTTAGTGTATTTTTACGACAAGTACGTATAATCTGTCTTCCTTTTGATTCTGTAAGTATATTAANTTACAAATTTAAACTACTAAATGTACAAAAATATATTATTTATTTATTATTTATTAATTATTGAATAAATAAAATTAGTTTAAATAACAATTATAAGTTAGACTTTAATTATAACATTTATTGTTTTTTTAAAATATTCATTTGAAATTTTTTAAATATCTTTTGATACTTAAAAAAAATATTTAATTTAGGATTTTTGTAATATATATTCTATTTTATTGAATAATTTTATATTATGTGATTTAGTTTTTTATTATTATATTATTGCCATATTATTTATTGCTTGTTTCTAATTTAATTTTTAATGTTTATTATTTAATATTATTAGTCATTTTTCTTTATTTTTTTTTTTAGAATCAAAATATAGTTTTGTTAAACTGGGTGGATGGAACGCCAGTCATTGTCCCGGCTTTCGTATCGTGTTATTGATTTTGCATTATGATTTAATTAACTGATTTTTGAATTTAGTAATTTTATAATTTTTAATTTTATAATTTCAGTTTTCGTTTTCTAATAAATTTTTTTAAATGATAATTTAATTTTAAATATAATATTATATATATTTATTTAAATTTAATTGTGTTATAAAATAGTGTATAGTAAATATAAAAAATTTATAAAAAATTAATATTATAAAATTCGTATTTTGTTAATTTATTTTATAATGAGATATTGAATAATTTTAAAATTTATTTTTGTTAAATAAATGTTTATTGAAATAATAAATTGACAATAAAATGATAATAAATAATGAAGAAAACAATCAACCTTCAATATATATATATTACACCTATATATTATTCTTTCATTTATTTCAAATACATGTTTAATTACATTTTTTAGCTTAAAATATTTATATACCAGAACAATAATTTTTAACAGCTGTCATAATAAATAATGGATTAGACTTTATAAATTTTATATTATATTATATTTTTTTCTATAATTGGAAAAAATAATAATTAATAAAAATTAATAACAGTTCTTTGATAAAAATTGATATTAAGACGAAATAGTCTTGTTAACATTTTCTTAGTGAAGTTGGCCCCACCCAGGCGGAAACACGTACAAATGAGTCATGAAGTTGAGGGTTGAAAATAAAATATACTTGGGAGACGAAAAAATTTTAAGACTGAAGAATGTTCTAAATTAGGAACTGCATTTTATAAAATATCTTTCTGAAGAGATCAGACTCATATGTTTGTCTAAGAAAACTTCAACGCTAAGACAAAAATAGGATATTATTTTTCTATTATAATACTATTTTTATCATTAATTACAATTTATTAAATATTTAAATACTTATGAAAATTAATTATTATCATAATTATTTTTTTAATTATTTAAAATATTTAAATTTTTATATATATTTATGAATAGTTTATATCTTTTACTGTGAATTATTAGTTATGTACTAGTTATAATTAATTATATTTTTTATAATTTATTAATTATTCTTATAAATAAATATAATTTAAATTTTTTATAGTTTTTTTTATATATATTTACAGAAATAATTCGAAGGATTTTTACACGTTTAATTAACGATCGATAGAAATAAACAATGCAGGCTAACGGTGAGAATGTCGGTTCTGAAAATACAAATGAAAAATCTGGATGGACGGTAATTATTAATTATTTAAAAGTTATATATTTTATTTTTAATAAATTAATATATATTTCTTATATTTAATTTAAATTTGTTTATTTTGTATTTTTAAAAAATATTAAACATTAAAAATAATATTAAAAATCGTAAATTAAAATTTAAAATTATAGATTAAAAATAAAAATTTGAGCATTTTTTATTTGAAGTATATACAATAAATGGAATTTATAAATGTATTATAAATAAAGAAAGCATATAAATAGATAAATTTATTTTTCAAGCTAATTAAATATAATATTTTTAAATATTTTCCCTTATATTTACTTAATTTTATAATATTTACTTAATTTTATTATAGGTTGGTTTAATAAATGGAAAGTTTAAGTATCTCACAGCTGAAACTTTTGGATTTAAAATTAATGCAAATGGTTCAAGTTTGAAGAAAAAACAATTATGGATTTTAGAAGGTAGTGAACAGCAAGTTTTTCTTCGATCTCATTTAGATCGTTATTTAGCAGTGGATCAGTTTGGAAATGTTACTTGTGAGGCAGAAGATCCTAGTGATCCTGGTTGTGCTTTTCAAATACAGTTAGCTTCTGATGGTATGCAAAATTTTGACTTCATATAATATAAATTTATTTTTATTAAGTTTAGTATAAATATTTAAATCAATCTTTGATTTTTTAAATAAATTCAATTTTAATATCAATTTATATAATCTATAAAAATAATATATTTTTTTAGACACATTATTATTACATAATTATAAATCATAATCATTTGTAAAAATTTAATTTCTTTTTTTAAATTAGGAAGTGGTAGATGGGCTCTAAAGAATATTCAAAGAGGATATTTCTTGGGTTCTAGTCAAGATGAACTTAAATGTATAGCCAAAGCACCAAGTGAAGCAGAATATTGGCTAGTACATCTTGCTGCTAGACCTCAAGTAAGTAAAATTTTTGCATACTATATCATAACTTTAAATTCTTTATCAAAAACAAATTTAGTTTTCATATATTAAATTTTGGATGAATTTATGTATTATGAATGAGTTTATATGTATTATTATATGTATTATATGTATTATATTGTACATAAATATAAAATAAATATGTTACATTATTTTAAAATGTTGATTAGTTTTTTTTCTTATGCAAATTTCTTTTAGGTAAATTTAAAATCTGCTGGAAGAAAACGATTTGCTCACTTAAGTGCAACACAAGATGAAATTCATGTAGATGCGCCAGTTCCTTGGGGAGAAGATACACTCTTTACTTTAGAATTTCGTCCTGCTTCGATAGAAGATAATGGCGAAGAACATTCTAAATTTGAGGGTGGTCATTATGCTTTACACACTTGTAATAACAAATATTTAGCACGAGATGGTAAACTTTTAGATTCTTGTACACGAGATTGTCTTTATGCTGCTGAGTTTCATGCTGGATTACTAGCACTCAGGTAAGAAATATTAGTATACTTTTCATTACATTATAATATTAAAATATAATTCTGTAAACATTAAATAAAAAAATTGTTTAATTTATGTTATATTTTATTATAATTATTGTAAATTAATTTTAGTATGTGTATATATTTATTATATATATAAAATATAAAACATATATATATATATATTTATATATATTTATACATATATTAGTTTAAATGATCTTGTATCTATATTTTGAAGATTATGATATAGATTATAATATTTTTAATTAAAGGGATCTGTATGGAGCATATTTGGCACCTATTGGAAGTAAAGCTGTTTTAAAATCAAGATCAACAACTGTAACTCGAGATGAGTTATTTTCTTTAGAAGAATCATTACCGCAAGCTTCTTTTGTTGCTGCTTTAAATCAACGTTATGTATCTGTGAAACAAGGTATATTTTTATTTCTATAATTTTTATTATTTTTGTTTTTATTATCTTAGTTAAAGAAAATTTATAATTAGAATTAAATATAATTATTTTTTTTATATATTTACATTTAATTATAAATTATCATATTTGTTAAATTTTAATTATAAAAATTTATCAATAAATATTATTTATTTATAATTCGATTATTTATTTTAAAATATAAATTTTAATTATAATTAATTACAAATTATTATAAATAATTAATTAAATAAATTTAAAAAATCTTTCTGGATAATAATAGCATTATGCTTTCAGGCGTTGATGTGACTGCTAATCAAGATGAAATTTCTGGACATGAAACTTTCCAATTAGAATTTGATCGTGTAACTAAAAGATGGTATGTTCGTACCATGCAAGATCGTTACTGGAGTCTTGAAGCAGGAGGAGGAATTCAAGCATCGGAACACAAACGTTCTTCTAATGCTTTGTTTGATTTGATTTGGCAATCGGAAGATGGAACAGTAGCTTTACGTGCTAACAATGGCAAATTTTTAGCAACAAAGCGTTCTGGTCATCTTTATGCTAATGCAGAATCTGTAAATGGATTGGATTCAGATGCTAGCAAATATTATTTTTATTTGATGAATAGACCTGTCTTAGTATTACGTTGTGAACAAGGATTTGTGGGACCTAAAAGTTCAGCCAGTTCAAAATTAGAATGCAACAAAGCTATTTACGAAACTATCAGAGTCGAAAGATGTGATCGTGGAATTGTTAGATTTAAAGGTAAAAAATTATTTGTATAATATATCTATGTGGAAATTAAAAATTATAATATAATTTTCGATTTTTTATTTAATAATAGTTTAATATTTTAAAAATATTTTAAAATATATTTTAAATTTTAATTACTTAAAAAAACTGATTTATTTTTATCTATTGAATTTATTTTATTTCAGGTCAAAATGGTAAATACTGGCATGCAGATAGCGAAGGAGTAACCGTAGATTCCGATATATCTTCTGATGGCTTTTATTTAGAATTACGAGAACCTTCTCGTATTTGTATTAAGCATACCGATGGAAGATATCTAACTGCAGGAAAAAATGGAGCATTGCGTCTCGGAGAAACAGATTATGAATCTGCTACAAAGTGGGAATTTTAATTGATTAAATAATCATGTCTATGCTATGTTCATTTAAAACTTTATTCAAGCAATTTACTTTTTATATTTAAAAAGACGTTACATGTAATAGATATAAATACTCAAAAAGTTTTAGTAAAAACAATCTAGAAAACGTATTTAATTTGAATGATTTATTGAAGAATTTAATAATTTATATTTTTTGATTATATTCTAAGTATCAGAAATGGAAAAAAAAAGAAATATACAAATGTTGGATTAAATTTTTAAATGAACATAGCTAAAATTTTGCCCTTTTTATAGCTTCGAATGTAATCTAATATAATATTTACAAGTACGGAAAAAGCTCCTATCGAGTACTTAATTAGAAGTACATCGTCGAATTAATTTTTTACGATTCTTTTATACTTCTAACTACGATTTTTCTATTCATAAAATACCGAATAAGACTGATCATTCGCATATTTACAGAATAATTAGCGGTTATTACATCGTATTCTAATAATTTAAAAAAAAAAAATTAATATTTTTCATTGTTTTTTCATCATAGAATAATTGAATATTTGTTGAATTATACTTTCTTTAATTTAATATATTACTTGAGATATTTATTTTTCAATATTTGATACTTAATTGATCGGTAATTTTATATAAAAACATTATATTTATTAATAAAATTTTTCTAATTTTTTAATTATCAAGCAATATAATAATTACCTATAACACTCTTTTATAATATTGTAAATATGTTTACAATTTGACATTTTATAATTTTTCATCTTACTTTACTTAAATCTTATAATTGATAATTTTATTTAATTAATAATGGAAATATTTTGTTAATAATTTATTTTATAAGAATAAAATAAAATAAAAATTAACAAAGAACTTAACCGATCGTTTAAGTGTTAAAAAAATTCTACTTTCTAGTCTTTGTATCAATGTATTAATATCAACACCAATTAATATTGAATTGTTGTAAAGCAATTAATACACTAGACAGCATATTTCGAAATTTGTTAATAAGTAATATACATAGTATTTTAGTTAATAAAAATAATCATTGCACATGATAAATATATTTTTTTTTATATTATTCAATTATACACTATTATAGAATAAACATGTCATGCACAAATATATCATATCATTATAAACTTGCTATCTAGTGTATATCTTCAAAAAAATCGATGCAATAATCGAATTAATCTGTATAATTTGAGATCACGCTTTTTCTACATAAGAAATTCACATTCCGTGAGCTGTGCAATGGTCGAAACATTTTTACAGCTATTTCTATGAAAGAATTTTACGTCACAACCCGCTTAGAAAATATTAAAATCGTAAATTTTATATATGGATTAGTACTAATTTTGTGGGCGTGTAATTTATCGATTAGTTTATAAGTAACATTTTTCTTTTTTTGTCGAATTTCAATATTTTTCGAATATATTGATATTTTGATTCGACAAAAAGAGAATAATTATTTTTCGATATGCTTTTATCTTTTATATGATACTTTTTTTTATCTGCTCTCTATTTTTCATATACAAACAAGATTAATATTAAGGTCGTTACTTTGGCAAAACTATCTGTAGTTTATGTTATTTATCATATTGAGGAAAGCGGGATAATCTAAATGCATTATGTAAGCAATAAATTCTGCTATTAAACATTTGTTAAAATTTTTCTCATATTACCATTTTCCAAAATCATAGCCTTTTAATTTTATTATTCATTCTTAAGCCAATATAATCTAAAACTATTAATTGATTTTTATAATTTCCGAAAAAAGATAATTTATTTTATATAACAGAAATAATTTTTCAAATATTTTTAAGTATAATAATTAATAATATATTGTGAATGTTTAATTATTCATTACTTTATTATATTCATTAAACATTACTTTTATACATGGATAGAAGAGAGGTAACAATGGTAATTGCGGTAATTTAAACTCCATGAAATCATAAGCTAGTCCGACATTTATTTCTTTGTCTGGAATAGAAGGAATTTTTGAATAACGTTGACTAAAATGCGTCAATAATATAAATTTCGCATTCATAAATTTTCCAGCATTTATTGCTTGAGAAGTAGTTGAATGTAATTTACTTTTTGCTAATTTTTCAAGACCATCTTCCATAGTTGCTTCGTGAATTAATAAATCACAATTTTGTCCTAAAGTTATAAGATTTCGACAAAATATAGTATCACCACTGAAATAAAATTTTGAATTATGAATTGTTAACATATAAAATTAATTAATTTTTAAATTATACATTTTATTTATCTTACCTATAAACAATTTTTTTATTATTTTTGAGAGTAATAGCAATACCAAATGATTGTTTACAATGTGGAACATGAATTGTATTTATTTCTTTAATGTCTAATTTATTGTAGAGTTCAAGTTCAAAAGTTGTAGGTAACTTATGATAATTTAGATATATATTATTATTATCTATTAAAATGTATTGATGGACAATAGATTCAAATCGATCATTGTAAAAATTCAGCCATGGCATTATATTTTTCGGTGATAGTAAATATAATTTTTGACTTGTGATCTTTCTTCTTTGTAATAATAAACCAATTAGTCCTAAATGGTGATCTGCATGTATATGTGATATATAAATAGCCTAAAAAAAAAAAAAAAAGATTAGTATTTTATTATTATATTAAAAGAAAATTGTAGACATCAATTAAAATATGAATATCAATGTTCTAAAGTCAAAAATGATTTTATTAATTTTATTAATTTTAAAATGTAAGCGACGTACCTTAATAGTACGTAAAATATTAAGACCTTCTAAAACCCCATAATATCTAATAATTTGACCAAGAGTACCTTCTCCACAATCCAATAAAATGCTACTATCTTTGTTAATTCGTAAAAGAATACTGCTTGTATTTCTAATTTTATTTGGTACGCTACAACCAGTACCTAACATTATAATTCGTGGATAATCAGAAATATTATTTAAATTAAGTTCTGATGATTTTTCATTAATAATTATTTTTAATTCCTCTAAAACATTTATAAAATTAGGAATTTTTATAACTTCATCAATATATTTTTGTGATTCCCTATAAATTTTATGATTAATTAAAGTAGATACATTTGGCCGTAAATGTAATATTTGTGCTGTTCTAGCACGATGAAAGTTATTATTCATAGTCTGAAATATAAAATTTTCTAATTATTCATTTTTTAAAATTTTTTAATATATCAATTTTTATATTAAAGAAATGAATATTATTTTATTAAATATATCTTTATTATTATTTAATTTGAAACATTTTACCTCTTTATCTTTTTCGAAACAATCTTTATTTAATAAAGGAAATATTTCAGGATGCAACATATTTAATAAAGATTGATTCTTATAAACAGCTTCACTGCCCATACAAGTATTTTCATCATTTAAAATTATATGTTCTGTTTTTGAGGAAAACTTTTTTATCCAATCTTGATATTTTTGACTTGTGAAAATTTTTTCAGGAGTAAAATGAAATATGCAAAAAACTTCATTTTCCTTTTTTGTTGATTCTGTTTGATATTTTAAAAAACTAGAGTGATTTATAATGGAATCCAAATATTCTTCTGTTGGACATTCTAAAACTGAAGAAAATTTTTAACATTAATTGAATTTTTTAATAATAGAAAAGATAAATTGATATTTTTTTAATTATAATTATTCAAATTACCTTCATTTTTTAAACAGGATATTTTTAATTATTTTTGAATATTAAAATTAATAAATAAATTAATAAAAACAAACCAAAGCAATTAAAAAAAAATAATTACAGAATAATAATTTAATACTTGTTATTATATATATTGTTTAATACTTGTTAATATTATTTAAGTTGTTTATAGATTTAAATATTTTTAGAATTACCTATAAAAATGGTTTTAGATTCAGATGGTTCTACTACATCTTTGCTATAAACAATTGTTCCATCTTCTTTAGTAATATCCACTCCTTGTTTTAATAAATTTAAATCTGGTCCAGGTGATACACCAAAATCTATACATTTGTTTATTAACAATTTTCCAAGTTTTGGATGAACTTCACAAATAAAGCATAATAAATGTGGAATACTTTTTACTTTCTTTTCTGTTTTTATTTCTTCCTCTTGTGTTTTTTTATTAATAACTCTTTTACCATTTATATTTGTGTGCCATTGTTCTTTATCAGTTAAATATAAAGAACTTCCTTCAGTGCTTTTGAAAGATTTTGTTATAGGAATATATGAAATATTCATTATATCATCAGTATATACTTTAGATTCATTGATCGCAGGAAAAGAAATTTTTAGATTTGGTAAAGATATAAATGATTGAATTGTTTGTATAAAACTATCAAATCCTTCTGGACAATGAATATTTATTTTTTTTAAACCATTTGATTGTGCTGTTAAAAGAAAACCTGGAATACCTCCAACATTTTTCCAAGAAGAATGTGTCACAAATATATTATAAACTTTGGATAATTTACAATGATGTTCTTGACTTAAACGTTGAGTACCTTCTCCACAATTAAATATATAATTAACATGATCACTTATAAAAAATATATTTTCTGGGGTTCCAAGTGCTCCACTGCCAAGTACCTGTTTTCAAATATTAAACTTTAACAAAATTTTATTATTGTTATCATAAATTTTAATATAGAATTAATTTATTTAACATTAATTCATTTCATTTATAAATATTTTAAATACCTTTAATTTTGCATTAAAATGTGTATAAGATTTCACTCGTTTCATTGTTTGCATTGACAAATTATTTGTTTCATGTATAGTTTCTATTTTTTTATATAATTCAATTTTGTGAATATTTCTAATGATGCACTTAAAACAGTATACGATATTTTTGAACATCACAAAACAAAAAAAACTATTTTTAAAACTATTTAATATTTAAAAGCTAATCAATAATGAATAGTTTGTCAATTAATTAGTTTTAGAAACAAAAACAATTGTCTAATTGTTAAGTTAATGATAATTAAATGATATAATTAACAAGTTTCTTAAAAATTACAATATATATCAATTAATAATCGTTATAAACTGTTTTTTATTATATTTTTTACTTAACCTTATTATTTATAAATTGTAACATGCGTTAGATATAATTTTTGTCAATACATTATTTATTAATAAAACTTTCAAATACATTATTTATTAAAATAAAAATGTATAATAAAAATTCTACAATAAAAATCTAAATTGAAAATACAATCACGTGTTAACCACATTATACAAAAAACATGATAACATAACATAAGTAAATATGCAATGAAAAGAAGCAGAAATATAATGATATAAGATGATGTATTTATTAGACGAAATTTAGATTAGCCGATCTAGAAAGAAGAAATTATGTGAGAAATTTGGAATTTTTTCTCTTAATTCATAAGTTTATATAACTATGTAAACTTGTTTCATATTTCATGGCAAACAACTGGAAAAAATAATTACGCGGGAAAATTAAAAAAAATTTTATAAATTGAAGCTATTTCTCGAGTAAATTTTTGCGAAATAATTATAGACAAAGAAAGCATAATAAAAGAAGATATAGAATAAAAATCAACTTTCTAGAGTAAGTAAAACTAATAAATAGAAGAAAAATACAACAATAAAAGAATAAAGATAGAATAGAATTGACTAATAGATAGAAAAGAATTGACCATTAAGATTACCTCTTGAGTGGTAAAGATATTAAAGATTAGAATAAGGTAGAATAAGAATTAAGAATCATTGCTATATTTTACTTTTAAGAAAGAAAGATGTATATAATACTCAAGAGATGGCGTTGATAATCAATTCCTACTTTGTCTGTTTCTATTCTATTTGCTTTCTTTCTCTATATGTTAATTTTATTTATTTTAGAGATGGTGTTGATTTCTCAATTTTTACTTCATCTTTTATTATTTCTCTTCTCGTTTATATATTAGTTTCATTTATAATATTCTAGAGATAGTACTGATTTTCTAATTTTTATCCTATTTTTGAATTATTTTTTTCTTTATTTAAAAAAACTTGGCAAAAATTTATGCGTTTAGAGACAATTTAAAATTAAAAAAATATATTAGTTATATATTATAATAATTATTATTATATCTATTTTTTTATTTTTTTCATGAATAATAAAAGTAAATATTCAATCAAATTATTTTTTTTGATTCATTAAATGTTCAATTATACTATATAACATTTATAATGCATAATAAATATAATTCTTCAATCTGTAACTGAATTCACTTTGTTTATGTTAACGAAATTAAATAATAGAAAAAATTCTTATTTTGCCTATTTTAATAATTTTGAATACTTGAATATATTTCTTAAGAAATCAAAAGTGATAAAGAATATAATTTTGTGAGAAAGTAAGTTTTAATATAGTATATAAAAACTTAACGTTTATTATTATTTATTCTATTTCTTTGTTAAATGTTATTTTAAATTAATCATTTCATATCTAAAAATAATAATAATAAATCTATTTATTTAAAAAATAATAAAAATATAAAAAGTATAAATATATATATATATATATTTTAATTCGAATATTTTTATTATTTATATTAAATTATAATATATACCAAGTAAATTTTACTATCTTAAAAATTAATCGTATGTATATATCCTTTAATTTGTTGTAACATTACAATAGTCAGAAATTATTTTTGCCACTATTTTAAAGTTACATTTCAATTTAACAAGATATTTTGTTCGAAATATTGAATTTGAAATATTATCTATTTTAATCCTATTTATATTAATATTCGGATATTTTGGATATCTTTTTATTTAACATAAATCTATAAAGGCTTTAATAAATAATTTTAAATAGAATACATGAGATAAAGCATCTGGAATCTACATGTAGTACTGTGTTCGCTTTTATTGTGATTGACAATGTGATAAACAACTGCGAGGGATATTTTTGATCTTCAATTTTGATCAAAAAATCAACAATTGTTGATCCCGTATATTGAAATTATAGTTTGTTTATTGTTTGCATTATAATTTGATATAATTTTTTATCGATAAAAAAATATTTGTTATATTCAAATTTTCCTCGACGTATATTGCTTCGATTTGTTTGTGCTCAATCGGCGACTAATGCTATTGTTGCATTCGACTAAACTATGCGCTCTGTAATTGGTTTGCATTTTTCGTTAATAATTCTTTAATGAGAATTTTCGCAAAGAAAAACATTGCTAAAATTACCACAGGAATCTTTAATTAAGAGCAATATTCCCATTTTAAGATTGTAGAGATAACCTACTTGTATATTGTTTAAAACTTAACATTTTCATTCTTCGATTTCAATCTTTTGGTAGATTTTCATAATTCAGCTAGAATTATCGTTATTTACTATATACATTTGAAATTTAATACTTAATACATTTGAATTTTTGTTTAATTGCTTAAAACTAGAAATTTAAGTTCTTAAGATTAAATATTCTTTATACGATGAATAAGACTTGTCTCCAGGCATATGATGGAATTTAGATAATAAATTATTCATTATAAAAGTTTATTATAAATTATAAATATAAATTATAAATATAAGTTATAAATTATTCCAAGGTGAAAAATCGAGGGACATGGATATACTACCTTCAGCGAACGATATAATTTTTGCATCGTCTCAGTATGGTTCTATGGCCATGTTTCTCAAAAGATATATAATAGACATAAAAGCTGAATTAGAAAAACGTTCAAAAAAATATTCGGAAACCTTGTCTCAAAGATATTTAAGAGATGAAAATTTTGAAAAAATATTGAAATTATGGCGTTTTGAGATGGATCAATATTTTACTGAACTTGAATTTTATTGGAGAGTGAGTTATAATTTTTATTTCATGGAAAAGTCAAATTGAAATTTTTTATATTTAAAAAATTAAATTATTTTTTCCAAAATTATATTTTTCAAAATCAATTAATTTATATTTGAAAGGCAATCATACTCAGAACATTCTTCTATCCCAGTAACTATCTACATATTTTAAGATCACCTCTAAAAATAGATAAACGATATAACAAAATTCAAATACACAATATTACATTTCCAATGCGAAATGAAGAATATCAATTATCTTCTATGTTGCATGAAATGAGAAAGAAATTAAAACCAAGATGTACAGGTAGATATTTAATCAAACATACTATATGTGGAAATGGAAACAATTGAATATAGTGTAAGTGTGTTAAAAAATATATATATAATATAGTACTTATATATATATAATATAGTACTTATTCTTTGCTTCTTCAAGGTATCTAATATACAATATTTCTTTTCTCACGGAATATAATTTAATTATAAAATTGTAAGAGAATCTGTAGTGATGAACTATTATAAAATGAGAAATGATATCCTAAATATCTTCATTATATGGATCTATCGAAAAATTTTAGAGGTTATAGATAAAAACTTCAAATAATGCGAATAAATGAATTGTCATTTGAATTTTTAAAAGCATAATATTTTATTTTTTATCAGAGTTGTATATATAAAGAAAAATACAGTCCAAAATGTATTTTTAATGCGTTTTATTATTAATTAATTTGTATTAAAACACAATACAATTTTTAAGCGAAATATACATGTATAAAATAAATAATTATAAAATTGCTGTATCTTAACTATTTATTTCGAATAAAAATATATTTTAATCATTTATCAGTGTAGTTGATAAAATGTACGAAATTTTCCCTTCGAAAGTTCAAAATATTGACCTTATATACCATATTTATCGATAATTAAATCAATAACGAAATTGTATACTCACAATATTGGTCCAATTATACGCGATATGAGATATCCATTCTTCTTATTCATTTTCCTTCACTATTGATTTACTTATTTACAAATTAATAATTAATTCAATTTATTTAAGATCTTTTCATAATGATTAATAATAATAATTATTCCTGTCAAATTATCAGGATCTTTTAACAGAATTTAAAATTAAAATTTGGTCTAGAAAGTGATTAATAATTTTGAACAAATTCAAAATATTTATCTTCCCACAAAGAGGAAGATACACACACAGAACGGAAGATACAGACACAGCGTTTTACATAGAAACATATGAGAGATTGATCAACAATATATTTACTAAGAATGAGATTGTAAGAGAATTTTCCATTCAAACATCTGTTTACATTTCTTTGTGTGATGGGAAAAAATTCATATAAGAATATTTACACGAGATCACAATTCGAATGGAATATAGAATNATATGTTATATATATATTAAATATATATATATATATATTTAATTTAAATATTAAACTTTATTAATATCTTCATTTCCACATGAGTATGAATTATAAAATTTTTATATTATATATTTATATGCTATTACATATGCTTATATTACATATTTATATACATACATATTTATTTGCTTATTTATTATCCAAGTAAAAGAAAAATGGATGATTTATTTTAATTCAAATCATGTTAATATTAATTATAAATTTTTTATAAATAATAATTTGTTTTATTTGCGACTATAAAAATTACATATATCTTGGATAAATTTTCAACTCGTTTCAAATTGTTTTGTCAAAAAATTACTACTCTAGGCTCTTTAATTTTAAATAATTAATTTCTATAGTACGAAATGGAATATTTTTCGTAATGGAATATTTTTCTTTCAGTTTTGTAAATAAAAGAACGTTGCACGAGCGATTTAAGATATTTTTATCTGAAGATTAATACCTATTGAAAATTAAAGCTCGATGTACATTAATCCTTTATCAGAAATAAAAAGATATTTTGTATGATTTTTTATTATTACGAATCATACGTTTATCTTATTAAATATTCATCGATTTTTAAATATAAGAAAAATAATAAAAAAATATGTTTGATTAAAACATAAAATATAATTTAAATGATAAAAAAAAATTTAAAAAAAATAATAATACTAATAAATATTACTTAAATAAAATCTTTATCGATTTCCAATCGTTATCACAAAAACCATGATGAGAATTTTGTTTTTTAAAAAAGAAAAAACTTAAATAATCAAACTTATATATTCACTTAATTAACTCTAAGAAGATTTTAATTAATCCTGACAAATCTTTTCGTAAATATTTTTTTACAAAATTTTACAAAGAACAATTCTTTTTTGTATTTTGAATATTATTATGATATTGCTTAAAGAATTATATTCTTGAAATAGCAATAATTGTTCGATATATTATAGAAATAATATTTGTCTGTTACATTATATTTATTTTTTTTCGCAATATTTTCTTTCGAAATATGCGAAGAAATTGATTGTTCATTAAGAAAAATATGAATTACATTAATAATATATTAGAATAATAAAGTAAGAATCAACTTTGAAACAATGTAGTTAAAATAATTCGATTATTTCAATCGAGATTATAAATTGCAAATTTTTATCTCGAATGCAATTAATTTTTTAATTTATCTTTACTCGCCAAAGATAGATGGCATTTATTTAAAATTCTCACAAATGAAAGTAATATTGTAAATGAATAAATACGAAGAATTAATTTAAATTTATTTATTATTTGGAAATAATTCTATTTATTTTTCTAAAAATTTCTGTTTCTTTGACAGGATATAATAATTGATATTTAATCCTTTCTAGGGATTTTTCATGAAATTTAATTTGACTTTTTACGTGATTGTGTATTTATATAAATATAATGGTCTTTATAAATGTGTCTATATTACCAAATTTAAGAGCTAAAAAATATCTTTGAAAAATTTAATAAAAAAAAAAATTCAACTTCTCGAAATTAACTAATTCTATAATTTTCAAATAAATTTCTTCTCTAAAATTAAACATTCGATTTCCAATATTGTGATTACTATATTCAAAAGAATTTGAATTGATAATATGCGAATTTAATAAAAAATTGCATAAAAGTGTTTTTAAGTTATCCATTTAACATTATATTTATACACTAGATTTAAAATCTAATCTGATACAATGGGAGTTCGATTAATCGATTCACGATTATCCAAATTATCGATCTCGATTATTCAGATTATTGCATATGAATAGCATATGAAAAAAACTAAATGATCAAAACGAAAAGTTTAGAATGAAAAACTGTTATTGGAAATTATTTGAAATTGGAAATTATTTGAAATTTTGAAAAAATTCTTTGTTTAAAAAAGGAAAAAATCTTTTTAAAAGCTCTTAAAATCATTTTTTTCTCTTTTGAATGCCCTGTGACTTTCATAATCATCTTATTTTACCTTTTTCTATGTCTTCCTTTATTCTTCAAAAGTAAATAAAAAGAAAAAGAAAAAATATCATATCGGGTTTGGAAAAAATGTTCGTGTCTACTAATCAACCGTACAAATGTATATAGATGACATATAGTATCTCGTAAGTATGATATGGGTCAGAGGTTTAATGCGATTATCCTATTCCGAATAAGTATAAAAGCTCGCCGTTAAGCCCATAATCGATACAAAACGTCGAAACGACGGGTGTCGACGGTGAAACGATATTTTTTTCCCTCCCCCTCATCCATTGCGAGGATGTTGTTGAAAGTAGTTTTGTTGGTGGCGCTCGCTGCCATTTGCGGCGCACAGGGCGCTTCCTACGCTGGAAAGCACACCGCTGATATGGATTTCCTTCACAAGCAAAAGAAGATATTCGACCTGTTGCTTTACGTAAGACAGGCAGACTTGAGCGATGCAGAATGGTACGATGTAGGCAGGAACTACGATATGGAGAGTAACGTGGATATGTACAAAGACAAGGTGATACTGTTATTTATCAAGGTTTTTGATGGAATTATGGAATTTCGAATAGATACTGTAGGATACCATATTAATCTACCTGGGTATCTTAATTTAAAATAATGACGGATTGAATATTTTTTTCGCTAAAATATAACTTTGATTTCAATTTCGATTTCACAATATGATTATTTGTGAAATTAATTGAAATTAGTATTTTAATATGGATAGAACAAATCCATCAAAATGATTTCATTTATTATTTATACGATTATTCAAAACAAAAATATTTTTGACAAAATTAATATTGTAATTTATCGAGATAGAAATATAATCATTTTAATTATAATTTATGTAGAATAGATACTTAGATACTACAGACTGGTTATTTTAATGTATTAATCGTAATATATTTTATTAAAACTGAAAGAAACATAATATTGAAGTAGTAAAGCGACAAATATCGGAGACTTATACAACTAACATCTCATATATCGCAATATAACATATAACCTTTTATTTTATAACTTCAATAAAAAAGTTGAATCTTAAATTTAATTAATTTTAGAATGTCATACAAAAGTTCCTGTGGTGGTACAAACAAGGAATGTTCCTATCGCGTAACGCCATTTTTACTCCGCTTAACTCTGAACAGAAATACGAGGTGAGAATGTTGTTCGAATTGTTATACAATGCGAAGGACTTCCAAACGTTTTACAAAACTGCCGCTTGGGCTCGACTTCGGATGAACAGCGGCATGTTTACCACAGCGTTTTCTATCGCTATCCTCTACAGATCTGACACTAAATACATGAGACTTCCTGCGATCTACGAGATCTATCCCAATTATTTCTTCGACTCGAGTGTTATAGAAGAGGCACAAAACTTAAAGATGTCTCGAGGTGACTATTAATTATTTTTATACTAACATATCATTTATTTTAATTTTTTTACAACTCCGCTAAGATTAAAAAGAGAAAAGATTCAAAGTAAAAATTTAAAAATGTCTCTCGTTTATTGTAATAATTACATAATGGGTAATAGGATATATTAGGTAATAAAATATAATAGGTTATTAAGTTCCATTAAATGATTTTATATTTTTTGGTTTATGATTATTGAAAAAGTTAATGAATTTTTTGATAAAATTAACATTATAATTTATCAAAATAAAAATTATGTTATTTTCATAACATCATTTTAATTACATTTTATTTATATAAAATAGTAAAATAAATATAATAGTTTTATATTAAAGTTGAAAAACTAATAATACTAATTTTTAAATTTTCAAATTAATAGGAATCATAAATTACATTTGGAAAAGAAAAAAGAAATTTTTATAATAATTTGCGACAATAATTCATACAAAAATTTTATTTCACTATTGTATCTATTAATTTTAAGAATTTAGATATTTACTTTTTCATGAATTTTTTCGAGAA